CACACAGATACACACAGACACACACAGACACACACAGACACACACAGACACACACAGACACACACAGACACACACAGACACACACAGACACACACAGTCACCCACAGACACACACAGACACACACAGACACACACACCGTCCTAACGGCGGGTGATAATGACAATGAGCTCATCCTCTGACCTTTATCTCGTCTCCATAGAAACCCGTCATGCTGGAGTCTGCGACCAGCAGGGTCTCGATGAAGCGCGGCGCGGACACGAAGCGTCTGCGGCGCGCTGCCGTCCGTGCGTCACCGCCGCCACGCGTCAAACTTTCCGCTCCGCGCGCCGCCTCCTCCTCCTCCTGCTCCTCCTGCTCCTCCTCAGCGTCCAGCAGGAGCGGGGTCCCCGTCCTCCTGCTGATGATGTGCAGCCGCTCCGCAGCGCGCGGGTCGCGGCTGCCGCGCACTTTGGGCTCGATGATGAACTGTGACCCGTCTGTGATGAAGGAGCCGAAGATCCCCGAGCACAGACTGACCGCCACCAGCGAGTCCTCGTCCTGGTCCACGCTCCCCGAGTAGAAGCAGCTTCTCAGGTGGTCCTGGTCCTCCTCAGTCCGGTTCAGGGAGCTGACGGCGGGATTCGCACCGGCAGCTCCGGCTCTGACGCGCTGCACGGTGAAGGCGGGAGACATGAAGCTGGGGTCCGGACTCAGGTTCAGGGTCAGGCGCCTGCCGAACGCGCTCAGGGAGAAGCTCGGCTGCTCCTCGCTCCTTTTCCAAAAACGACCCCTGGTCCTGGGGTCCACCCGGACCGGGACCACCTCCTCTGACTCGAAGGAGGAGGCGCGCGCTGTGCTGACCACACACAGGAGGAGAGACCCCCAAAACACTGCGGGACGCATCTTCTGTGGCCTGAAGCTGACAGGGATCAGAAACACCAACAAGTCCACAAAGACCAGTCCAGACATGGTCCAAGTCCCAGTCCCAGTCTGTCAGAGGAGCTGCTCCATTCTGACCAGTCCAGTCTGAGTCCTGGTCCCCCCTCCCCATCTGAGCTACTTATACTGCTGCTGGG